GCCCTTGTCTCCTTTAGGGTTAGCGTAGTTGTAGGCACGTTAATGTGCGTGACCAACATCAAACACTGCCTCATCGATGCATTCGCAAAGGAGAGAGCAACTCAGGCGAACAGCAACGACCGACGGGTCCGCCAGTTGACGTTGGGGAGGCCAAGCCCGCCAGCGGCCAAATTCCGGGAGATCCAATGTAGTCAATAACCAACGGGCTGGTCAAATTTCGCGCCTCTAGCGCGGGCAAATGGCAAGACTGTCTAACTCAAGACCACTAGGCGCAGCAACTAAAATACTCTGAAGATGCACGCGAGGAGGATTCCTAAGCGTCCGTTCAAGTATAATGTGGTCCACGAAACCATCCCCTTACTTTTCTTCTTTTTTTGTATTTGATGAACACAATATGTCGTGGAATAATTTTTCGCATGATTTGGCGGTGGGTGACTGAAATATGAGTTTTTAGGGTCAGAACCGAAATTTATATGAACATTTTATTTGAAGGCAAGCAACTTCCATGGAAAAACCGAAAAATGCACTTAGTGATTTCCAAAATTATTTCCCTAATTATTTTCTGGAGGTTATGTACTCAAAACCGCATAGAGAACGCTGGGGACCCACTGAGGAGCCGAAACATCGAGGAAACACGTACCTGGACTTTTATCTAGCACCTATGTTGGGACTACGGTCTAACATCTTGTCCATATGGAATATATATATATATAAAAGGATGAGTCTACAGAGTGGATAGGAGGAGCCGGTTGATCGACCAATGCTTTACTTTTCTCGGAAACTGTCAGGCCTTGCAAGAAATTCGTTTTAATACTCCTGGCCGGCCGTTGAGAGCGACTGTAGGAGATAACTGATTCACATCACGCAGCCGTAAGTATTCTCTTATTCGGATAAAGAAGACGCCCCTTCAGTAGTTTTTACTTGAGAACATCCTCAATCTTCCGCAAGTCATTTCATGGCAAAAGGTGTTATTTTGTCATTACTAGACGCCGAATAACTAAAGATATTCGACAATAATGAGTGAGGCCATTGTTTTCTGGTTCGGATCCCAAGTGCTGAACTGAACTTTACTTTACGTCAGGTATATTTTCTGGTTTCGTAGACAGACGGATTGATTGTGATGGGGTTTCAGGACGCATCATTTCTTCTCTGTTTTATCATTCAAACTTCTTGAAAATGAACTCGCGTTTCCTGATAGCCTGATGATATCCACCACGCAATGTTTCCTAGGCTATTCCAAATGAATCGCCAGTAAGTAGGTGTAGGAAAGTAGTATATTAGACTCATCACGTACTCCTGATTTTTGGCGCTCAGCCATTAATTTTTCCTCTTGCTGATTCACGTGTTCATCCTCCTGGCCTGCATTTTGTTCCCATAGTATCCTCGTGCATTAACAAAGTTATGTCTGTATATACAGATGGACGAGCAAAGCGACCTCGCTCTTTCCCTTCCCTGACGCAAGTAGAACATTGCCTGAGCTTTCGTGCCAAGGGATAATGGGGCGAAATGCAACATTTGTTTATGTGTGACGCACGTACGCACGCAGGGCAGTAGTTGAGGCCTAACAGAGGCTTACGACCATGAACCCTAATGGCCCCCTTCTTTCATCTCAGAGCAGAATGTGCCATCCTGGGGGAGTAGGGGGCGGTAAATTAGAGTCAATCAAATCCTTTAACCTGTAGGTCACTGAAGCTCAGATCGTGTTCGCTGAGTTACGGCCACCTGGATTTATAAGAACTTAGTTTGCTATCGTTTTTATGCCAGAACGTGAGTTTTTAGGCACGTAATTACATTTTTGCATAGGTTTGTAAGCTTTGTATGGTTTACAGAAATTTAAACCATCAAAAATCTCTCCTTTTATCCCATACACACTTCACCTGATACATTTAAGGCCAAATTTTGAAGAATGACTAACCAAATTTTCTATTCCCCCGAGGATTAGAATGTTTAAATCTTCAAGTATTTGGCCAAGTCTATTTGAAACTGTTTAAAATTCCGAATAGATTGGCCCTGTCCTTTTCGTGTGCAATTGTACATTTTAATTAGGAAATTTAACCAAGTAATGTTTAAGCTATTTAGGTGGCTTTTTCGAAAAAAGAGCAATGGTAGAGTGCCTTACAATTAAAACCATGGAAGATTATCACTGTGCCAAATCAGAGAAAAAATACGTTTACAAAAAATTGGAAAACTCAAACCCATGATCTCACTTTCCGCTGCCATCTTCCAGCAGGCAACTTTAACGAAAAGAATGGAATGGTTCAGTCACTCAGGGCAAAAAAGAGAACCTCATCAATCGAACAAAATGAAGATTTCCCCACGGGCCATGCAGAATTAACTTGATTAGTGCACTTTAATATTGCGTTCTCCGTAATGAGAAAATTTATGACGTCCAACCAGCATTGCCAAATGCCGTAAACAGATTATTACCTACTTAAAATTATTTGATATAATATTCACAATTCTCTTCAAATTTTAACGAAACACTTGTATTTCTGTTGTAAACCTTGCATCAGACAAGCATATTCAATAAATATTAACGTCTACGTAAAGGCTTACCTGAAGTGGAAAAGATGGGAAGGTGTCCGCTTCATGAAACGCGATGAAGAAACCCTCCTTAGCCTTCCAGGCATTGGCATCACTTGTAGACTGAAGAAGAAAGGGTTCCTCCTCATTGAGCAGAAGTACGGGCGTCGACTTACTCCCCCGGTGCAATATAAGTCTAATGCCATGAGTGGGACCAGCCGGGACTGGCGGTTTTGGACGGACACGAAGGGTGAAGCAACGATAGTACAAAGAGTGCTCTGTGATGAGAAAACCATCAAGACAATCCTGCCCGCTTATCTGTGGAAAAAATCCATATTGTTGATTTCTGTGTAATGGGCATTATCTTATGCAAAAACGTGAAAACGGAATGGCATTATATGCCAAAAGAGCATTTCATTTACGAAATATTTCACATTTGATTTAAGTTCCTAAAACTAGTGACCTTCGGTTGACCCAATTGTGGAAAATTCGGGGCCTCCATGGGAGTTGAACCCGCACAACAGGGAAGGCTTTTGCTCAGCAAACGCTCTACCATTGAAAGGTAGACTTGGGCAAGCAAATCTACCCAAGTGTGCTTAAATTCACGGCGCACGGTGGGCCTCGTAGCTTAGTGGTAGAGCATTGGCTGCACAAAAGCCTTCCCTGCCGTGTGGGTTCGACTCCCACCGAGACCGCGAATTATTCCCAATTGGGGCAATCAAAGTATTGGAATCTGCCAAACTCCTAATAAGAGACTTTATATCAAATTTACGAAGAGAACAATGTTCCCGTATCTTTATCGAATACGAGCCCTAATTCAAACGTTAACCGAAGCCCTGACTCTAATTCTCCGACAAATTAGCAAAAAAACACCTGTGTTATGATAAGTGTTTCTGTTCCCGTATCCGGCCAAAAGACAATCTAATCTATCTCTCTTAGAAATGCTGCTTGATAGTGAGAATGTTTGTACGTAAAACTCTTGTTCTGGACAATCCGAGGCCATTTTTAATTAGAAGATGAATTTTGTTCAATCGAAATGCGAAGGTCATCTAAATTAAATGTAGTGCAAGCCTATTGGTGCGGCCTTTAAACCTAGAGAAGCATCCCCAAGAGTCACTTTACACTGCATGTGTGCTGAAAATATTGCAACCGATAAATGAAAAATACAAACCAGCAGGTAACGAACACACAAATAGGATCGATAAGACTGTCGCGTAATGACTAGGGATATATGCCGGAGAGAATTTCGACAAAGAAAAAGAAGACACTGGGCCTGGAGATTGGGATGGCCATTCCTGGCTTATCAGACGTCAACAGTCAATGACCCCTTTAAATTTAGCCTCAACGCACAACGGGACTAGCAGATCCCGCCACCCGATCGTTGAACGTCATTCCTGTAAAATTTAATCTTCCCGATCGCTAATGACAAGAGGTAAGTCCATGGTTGAATGGGGAGATATTGAATTCAATTTCCAATGAGCTCGGGTTCGACTCTTAAGTACTTCAAACCATGAGTCAGTTAGGACTGGTCAGATATGCCCGTTGCAGTCTGTTGCAGTACTTATTTCAACGTTGTGGAATATATGTGCCTTACTTTATGTGGAGAGTACGTAGCAGGTAGATCGGAAACCCTAAGAATAGATTCGACTGTGAGTCGGGTTCACAAATACTTGGAAATTGAAAAAAAAGATTTTTGTACCTATAAATTCTCTGTCTTCCGGCATAAATTTAGAAGCAGGCTTAATTTTATGCCAAATTAGTACAAGCAGTAATACACTGCTGTTGAGCTGACCCAATTGTGAGAAGTTTGCGCAGCCAACGCTCTATCATTGAGCTACGAGGCTGACCACGAGCCGTCAATTTAATCATACTTGGGTCGACTTGCCCGCCTAACTTACTACTCGTATGGAATCTACCATTATGGATACAGTACGCTGACTGCCTAGGCAGGATCTCCTAAGAAATCACCTAAAATCCACCAGGATGACAACTAGGTTCACTTAATAATAATACGTTTGTGCACACTTTTTTAAGGGAATCGAAAGTCAATTGGAAAAATGCATAGCCTCTAAGTAGTCATATTTGTCGAACATGGTTTTTGTAGGTTACCGAAAAGAAGCCCATTCAAAATTTATCAGCCTGGTGTGACTAAAATATCTAAGAATCATACTGCATGCTTCTCAGTAAGCAATCCCAAGCACTCTTTTCCAATCGATGAATGTTCAAACAAATGCTGATGTGATTAATATGGTGACTGATTGTTTTATAGATTTTATTTTAGCCCTTGTTGGCAAGGCTTGGATGGTTTTAAATCTGAGATGTCCTGGAATCGGATTCAACAGTGCTCTCATGGCGAGGAAACGACATAATCACGCCATTTGTGAGCTGATCCAAACGCCGCCTTTTTTGTAATTGCTCCGTCGGGTGGACAGTCTGTTGGGAATCTTATGAATAATTCTCTTTTATAAAAAGCTTTGGAGAGCCAGCCAATCTTGCAGTCACGTGGTGCACGTGTATGTTCTTACTGTTGCGATATCGTTCCGAAATCGCATCGGCTCCTTATTGGGATCGTTTTAATGGCCTTTTCTTTGTGTTATCTTTGCGAAGAGAGCAGACAGTTTCCACTTCCAGAAGTACCCTGGATATGCTCGTTTGTTCTGCCTCATTCGACCTAATCCTATGAAAATTAGAACTTCTGGCAAATATCCATTAAAACAGTTTAAATATTCCACCTCCTACAATAGTATACAATTGTACATCTAAAAAACACCACGAAAACGATGATCACAAATTGCAACACTTTAAACGAGCAACTGTCTAACACCATCCCAATTTTTAATTTATTGTTTCATCGTTAATTGTGTAATTGCACAGCTATGAATGTGAATTCTTAATCCTAACAAATGGACAAGAATTAGTTATTACATTTCCCTTATTCTTCGTAGATAACACCTCTTGGTTAAAAATTACCTCCGTATTAGTATATTTATTAAAATTAACTAACCTGGCAGTAAATCACGTGTTGGTGTGGTTTCCTACCGAGGCTCTTTGAGTTTTCAAAAAACTTTCGGGTGAGGGTGCGCTTAACTTGTGCATTAGGTGAGGCATTAAAAAAGTCTTCTTGCTTCAACCAAAATTCCTTTGCTTCCTGATAGGCTGTTTTCAACTTCCTTCCGGTCTCCGAACCCTCCAAGTCCGCAATGTTTATAGGACTATTTGGGCAGATGGTCAGATCGGGGTAAACATAATCGATGTTGTTGTACTTTATTTCTGTCAAGATGGGGTAACTGAAATAGTGTCGAATTAAGTAGGCCGTGTGCAAGAAGAACATGAAAACCATCAGAAACACGACTACTGCATAGTAAATTCGCGTCCTGCCCTTTGTAGCCGTAAGATGAATGGGACCGTGCAGAGTGGTGGAGCCCGCAAAATCCAACCAGATCTCCCAACGGAGGGCTCGATAACGGGCAATAGCCTGCTCCTTTATGGTTTTGAGTGGAACTCCACCAGGCGGGACTGCTTTACCCTTGTCAGCCATTACTTATCTAAAACTACTTAGTAGCTCTCAGTTACAGGCGCGAAAATCTTTTATTGATTACGTTGCATTCAAACAGCCCGTGTCGGGTCCGCTGAGGTAT